CATGTACTATGTAAATTATTTTTGCAACTTCTTTAACTATATCATGGCAGGTCATCTCTTTCATCTGAAGCTTTTCTATTTCTGTCTTTGCAGCTTGCCTTGCTTTGCCAATGGCACAACCCCAATAACCATATGAAACACCTGATGGGTCAATCATATAGAGCTGAGCACCGTCATTTGCACTGTAAGACCCTAACATAAAACTGCAGCCAAAAGGTCTAACAGCACTGTAGAGTGTATAAGCATGTACATACATGGCCACTCTGTCTGCAAGATGTTTTAGTGGAAGGTTATAGCCAAGGTTAGACCTAAAGTTGGAAGCTTCTTCTCTTGCTGTCTGCTAGTGAGCGCGCATCTGCCAATAACCCTGCTGCTGCCATTCCAACATGTCGATCAACATTAAAAGGTCGTTTGTTGGAGCCTTCTTCATAAAGTTTGGAAGAACTAATTTTTCTACCCCAAAGACAGCACCATCTTTACATCTGATCCCAGTAGCTGTACTACTATTTTCCATTGCCTTCATGGCATATTCAACTTGAAAAACTCTTCCATCAGGAGAAAAAGTAGAGGCTGACAGGTCATACCCAGTGCCGATGGAGCTCATGGTGCCGAACCACCCGGGCGCCCAGGGCTTGCAGGCCTCAAGTCGAGACTATAGACTTTTAAGTGTTTGGATTTTTTAAGGACTGTGGGGTTTTTAAGGTTGTACTGTCTTATGTTGTGATATTAATGTTAACATCATATCTTGGGGACAAGAATTAGAAAGCTATGGTTTAATAGTGATGTGTTTGTGTGTCAAGTTGACAAGGGGTCAATTGTACTGGATAGCTTTAGTGTCAACTTGACACACCTGGGTTGAGGGAGCCTCAATCGGGAAATTGCCTCTATTGGACTGGCCTGTGGCCATGTCTGAAGGGCATCTTCTTGATGAGTGATGTGGGGGGGCCCAGCCCACTGTGGCCAGCCCACTGTGGGTGGTGCCACCCCTGGGCAGGTGGGCCTGTGTTACATAAGAAAGCAGGCTGAGCAGGGGCCAGGGGAGCAAGCCAGTAAGCAGTGTTCTCCATTGCCTGTGCTCCAGCTCCTGCCTCCAGGTCCTGCCCCAAGTTCCTACCTTGAGCTCCATGATGAATTGTGTGACCCAGGAGATGTAAACCAAATAAACCCTTTCCTCCCCAAGTTGGTATTGGTCAGAGTATTTTGTCACAGCAATGAAGAACAAACTAGGACAACTGCCTTCCAGAACCCATGGTTTCTGGCTAGAAATGGGCTGTACCCCTCATACATGCTGCATTACTTATCCCTGCCTTCCAGATTCTCTCTGTAACTCTGGTGTTTGTCAACTTGATGATGATCTGTCCTGCAGTAGATTTCTCTCTATTCATCACACTCACAATCTGTTGAGCTTCTTGGGTGAGCAGACTAATTTTTTAAAATCAAACTTGTGAAGTTTTGGGCAATTAGTCCCTCAGATACTTTCTTTCTTCTCTTCTGAGATACCAATTGTACATTTGGTTTTGTTTTGTTTTTTGTTGCTTTTTTAATATTTTATTTTATTTTATGTATATGTGTGTATTGCCTGCATGTAGGTAAGCGCACCCGTGTCGCGCAATGCCCTTGGAAGACAGAAGAGGCCGTCGGATCCCCTGAAACTACAGTTACGGACAGTTGTTAGCTGCCTTGTGGGTGCTGGGATTCTAACCCGGGTCTTCTGCAAGAACAGTCAGTGCTCTTAACTGCTGAACCATCTCTCCAGCCCCTGGTTTTGTTTTTTGACACAAGGTCTTACTCTGTTACCACGTAGCCCAGGCTGACCTCATGATCCTCCTGTCTCTGCTTCCCAAGTGCTGAGATAAACCAGCCCCAGCTGACATGGATGTGTCTCGGGGGTTGTTTGGGGCATCACTGAGACAGGGTCTCATGTAGCCCAGGCTGGCCTCAAACTCACTGTTGCTGCCAAGGCTGGCCTTGCTCCTGACCCTCCCACCTGCATGTCCCAAGTGCTGGAATCGCAGGCATCTGCCCCTGCACCGTTTGCATCACGCACAGTCTTGGTAAGCACAGTATATGTATTCCCCTCACCCCTCCTTCGTGTGTGCTGGTCACATTCTGAGTCTTAGGTCTTCTAAGTCTTTTTCTGGTGACAAGTGCACCCTTTTGTTTGGATTTTTCTGTGCTTGCTACCAGAGCCCCACCCAGAGGGTCATCCCTCTTTTTTTTTGGTCTTTTTGAGACAGGGTCTCCCTGTAGCCCCAGCTGTCCTGGAACTCACTGTGTAGTCCAGGCTGGCCTCAAACTCACAAAGATCCGCCTGCCTCTGCCTCCTGAGTGCTGGGATTAAAGGCATGTGCCACCACACCCGGCTATCCCTCTATTTTTCTGAGCTATTTACACCCTCTATTGACACCCTCTAGGGTCTATTTCTGATTTGTCTCCCTGGTCTTCTGATAAGCTCAGAACTCACTAGTGACTTTGTGACAGAGCTGACCACCCCCAGCCACCAATGAAACCACCTCAGGAAACAACTTCAGGCAGAGCAGTGCGAGAGTAGGGTGGGTAGCAAGGCAGGGGCTGCTCACTCACCATTTGGACAGTCCAGGTGCCATCATCTGGGTCTTCCTGCCCCTCACGGGAGCCTGGGGACATGGGCAGGGCCTCCTCCTCTTTCAGGGCCTCCTCCTGCTCCATCTTTCCCTCTGGGGCTGATGCCCCTACCAAAGAGTTGTTGTTTTCAGAATCTACTGGGACAGATGAAGGTGGGGTGTCAGTCCAGGGAAGAATGGCAAATTCCAGGAAGAGCGAACTCGACCCCTCCCACAATATGCACTGGGAGCCCTTCTTCTGAGGCCCCACATGATTTCTGCTCCAGCCTTGCAGGACAGGACCCAGGGACTGTGGAGCACGGAGGTGAATCAGATGGAAAAAGGGCTGTGTGGTCTGAAGCCCACCGGTTCCCAGTGTCCACACCAGCAGATCCCCCCATGCATGCTGAAGGGAGACCTCCATTAACCCGAAACCATAAATAATCCTTGTTTTGCAAGGAAACATGTCTTGGACCCCAGCCATAAATTTCTGCTCCACTATGGGAGAAAAATGTAGACCTTGAATCTCCCACTAGTCCTTGGGAGACCCTTCTCTATTGGGAAAGAATACAGGCTTTGAAGTCTCTACCCAACCCCCAGGACTCTAGTTACCTACACAAAAGTACTCCCCCGCTGTTTGGCCCGCTGTTGGCTCCAGACACCCCCACCCCCTCACCCCCGGTCAGTGGTCACCCTCATTGACTAACAAAGGCTGACAGACTATGCGGTTCGCTGCTCCTCTTTTCTACCCGCACCTCTTTCAACTTCTAACCCTAACATTTACCCCAGAGAGAGTTAAAACTCCTAATTCCTAGCACAGCGGGTCACCCTTCCCCCCACCAAAACCACTCATCCTCTTTCTTTAGGGCACCCTAGTCCAGGCACCTTCCCCACAACAGCCTGGGCTCCCTGCTTTCCACCTCTTGCTGGGTGAGACTGAAATTTTGACAGAACCCACCAGACTACCTACAAAAGGCCTGAGCTCTCCTTTCAGAGAAACAGAACAAGCAAGATTGTAAAATGGCTAATGAACCATACAGAGTCCTGGTGACCTAAGGATAAATAAGGATCCTTTTGATTAACAGTTTATCTCCAGCAGCAAGCCCACAGTGTGCCTGAAACAGTCTCAAGGAGAGAATCCTGTGGACGAGAAAAAGGGCTATGCCTGCAAAACCTTCCCTGATGTCTAAACCGGAGCTCTTTCTCCCCCTCTCTCCCTCCAGCCCCCCTCTGCAGATTAAGAAGTTACCTCCAAAGTCACACCCCGATGATTCCAGGCCCTTCGATGCTTCCTCTGCACTGTCTTCTCTTCATCTACACACTTGCTGATTTTGCTTTACTGACTTACCCGGAATGTAACCTCCATCTACACAGAGCCCCAGCCAGGGCTCCGAGGGGTCTCAGGCTGTACTGGCAGCAACACCCAGTCTCAATTCTCAGTGCTGGTGACATGCCAGAATACCCCTGCCCAGAGCTGTGACCTACATACACTCTCACTCCAAACTGCTGCAGACCTGAGCCAGAATTTCACTTTGGAGGGGGTCTGGGTTTTTTTTTTTTTTTAATTTTATGGGTACGTGTGTATTGCCTGCAAGTGCACCCATGTCGTGCAATGCCCTCGGAAGACAGTAGAGGCTGTCGGATCCCCTGGAAACTGGAGTTATGGACAGTTGTTCGCTGCCATGTGGGTTCTGGGATTTGAACCCAGGTCTTCTGCAAGAACAACCATTGTTCTTAACCGCTGAGCCATCTCTCCAGCCCCTAGAGGGGTCTGTTTTCAAACCTGGCTCCCCGACCTAAGCCCCTCCCACACACTCCATATCCAGGACCTTTTTTTGCAGGTGCTGGCTCAGGCCCTTCCTCCCTAAGCCCCCTCCCTCCACCTTCTCCCAGCACTCAGGCTGCTCACTGCCATCTCCAGAAGGTTCTGGGAGGCAGGAGCACACTGTGAGTCTCCCAGTGCATTCAGGACCGGTTCGCTAAGGCTAAGGATGTTGGCCAGCACACACACACACACACACACACATGCACACAGGCACAAAAACACACATACACACGCACAGGGAGGCAAACTGGAAAAGCTGCGGAAAGATGTGCAGTATGCGCCTGGCCCCTTTTCTTTGCACAACTGCCACTTTGTAATAAATGGAATTTGGAGCTTTCTCCCTCCCACGGCTCCAGCTGGAGGAGTCCCTTGGTTAGCCTAACCCAGTCAGAACCTGGTGTCCCCCCCATCAAGTGACCAGGAAGGACCTGTAGGCAAGAAGTGTAGCTGGACTCCATCCTCCTATAGTGGAGTTTCTGAGAGGCCTGCAGACCCCACTGGAAGCACCTGCCCTGCTCAGTCCCATGGCAAAGCTGACAGGGAGACAAAGGAGCCCCTACACCTGACCCACCTGGGCTTCCACCTGCTGAGCAAGGGCAGGGCTAGGTGTCCACACGTAGATGCGAGGTCCAGAACAGAAGGGAGAAGGAAGCCAGCTTCCCCAGAAGAAAAACAGGCAGTTTCAAAGACAAAGAGGCTGGGGGTAGCTAAGCCTTGGGAGAGGCAGAGGCAGGAGGATGTCTGAGAATTCAAGGTCAGCCTGGTCTACGAAGTGAGACCCTGTCTCAAAAAGAAAGAACGAGTGAGCAAGTGAGCACTGGGGTAAGTGTACATAGAAAGATAGAAAGGAGCCTTGCAGTGTCTTGGAGGCTAGAGAAGCTGTGGAGGGATGTGAGAGGAGACCACTGCCTGGCCAGGTGCTGGGCAGCAGCAGATGGGCTGGAAGGCCTAGGCATGCTATTGAGACAGGCCCTGCCCTGTGCGCTGTGTAGCTCAGCATGTAGTGGAAACCATGTGTCCTGGTGTCCTGGGATGTGTAACCAGGCTTGGGCCAGAGCAGAGGGAGGAGACGTCATGGCATACTGTTGCTCCTGGGTGGATGGGAACATTTGCCACCAGCTTGTAGTTTTTAAAGTATTTTGTAATATTCTCTCTAAAAATTAATTAATTTTTAGTTTATATATATGAGTGTTTTGCCTGCATGTAAATGCATTCATATCATGCAATGCCTGCAAAGGCCAGAAGAGGGCAGTGGATACTCTGGAAGTGATGGACAGTTGTTAGCTGCCATGTAAGTGCTGGGAACAGAACCCAGGTCCCATGCGGGAGCAGCCGGTGCTCTTAACCACTGAGCACCTCTCAGCCCCAGCATGTGTATTTATATAATCATAACAATCAGAAGGCTGGGAGCTGGATTCAGAAAAGCGAATGCTCAACCACCTCAGAGCACTTTATATGGTAATGCACTAATGCACAGCCACCCAGAGGGGCCAGCAGCTACAAAAATGGAGCCACGGAGAAGTTGGGGACACTTCCAGGCCCCTCAGCACCAGGACCTTAGGTACTGTGCTGCCTCTCACAACTTCCCAGGTACGGGGAGGAATGTTCCAGGCTATAGAGACAAAAGGACAAAAAATATAAAGTAAAACCCACCATTCTCTAGCTGTCAGGCCTTGGTGGCGTGGAGCCTGACCCAGTGACCTGTGATGACTTAAACAAAGTCTAACTCCTAATGGAAGCGGGTGCTGCACCTTGCCTTCCCCAGACAGTCGTCCTCAGGGATGAGAAGTGGTGCCAGAAAATTGGCTATCCAACAAGACAGTGAGCTGCCCACCCTTTACCTATTCAAATACGATCCCCCGCAAATGGCGCAGGAAGCAAGGCCAGGAAACTTCTAACCTCTACAAAGAGCCCCGTTCCTTCTGCTGGCGCAGCTCTCTCTTTGAGAATTCACCTGCTATGTCCACCCCGAGTGCCTATTAAAACTTTCATGTCAGTTCTGGTCTGGTAAACACTTTTACCTCTGCACCGTGGGCTGTCCCTCTCTTGCCCTGCATGACACAGACCGCATCCATCCTTTACCACTGGTGTCTGACTCAAGGGAAACCCCTACCCCACCCAGGCAGCAGAGGCTCACAGAGGCAGGCCGGCAGTAGAGCGCTGTGCAGCAGAGACGCCCCAGCTCCTGCAGTCTAGTGGTAAGGAAGGAGAGCAAGCAAGCCCATGGCAAACCCAAATCACCACAACGGCAGAACCAGTTAAAATGTTGCACAGGACGCATTTATCCTAAATTGGTCAACTCTGCTGCTGGCCCAGTGAGGCTCAGAAAGGGCTTTGTAGGCGGCAGGACCAACTGCAGCCACAAGCACCTATATCAGCCACCAGCCAGCAGTGAACCCCAAGCCGGCGGTGAACCCCAAGCCTTCTCAGCACCCTCAGCTGGAACAGAACTGCAGCTTCACTGGGAGGGAAAGTTGTGGCATGCCGAATCCTGAACACTGTATGAGTGTGACTCCAGTGACGGACAGGAAGGCGGGGAGGGGGGCGGCGTGTCAGACACAGGCACAGAGGGGAGGTGATGTTTAATGGGAGAGGCTCAGCTGAAGGTGGACCCTGGAGATGTGTAGGCCCAGCAGTGAGCACTTACAGGGTCAAATGTCAAGTCATTATGTTGTAACTATTCAGTCATTATTTTCTTTTTATAAATATTTTTTTATTATGAGTGTTTTCCTGCATGTATGTAAGTGCACCCGTGTCATGCAGTGCCCGTAGAGGACAGAAGAGGCTGTCGGATCCCCTGGGACTGGAGTTACAGACAGTCATTAGCTGCCATGTGGGTGCTGGGATTCGAACCTGGGTCTTCTGCAAGAACAACCAGTGTTCTTACCCGCTGAGCCATCTCTGCAGCCCCATCAGTCACTATTTTCCAAAAGCCAACACATAGAATATGTGCCTTGTAGGAGAGCCACAAGCTTCATTAAGGAAGCCATCGTAAATCCCTTAAAGTGGCCAACTACCCTACATTGGAAGGCTGGCCTTGCTCAAGCCTTGTCAATTGGTCACTCCCAGGACTGAAGGAGGCTGTTTGTGGAACCACCTTTTCTCCTCTAGTGCCCCAGGCAGCCCATCTGCCCTGCCTGAGAAAGCCATCGTGGGAGAAAGACCTTCAATCACCCAAAGACAGCAGAGCCTGGCACCGAGTGAACTCCTGCAGCTGTGCTCAGCAGAACTCCTGTATAAAGCCAACCTCCCCGCTTCTCTGGATGCAGATGCTTTCTTCTGTGGAAAAGCTGCGTCCTCCGCTGTGATACCTGAATAGAGGACACACTTCTTGCCTGCTGCGGGTCTGGCCCTGGTTCTTTCTTCTAAATTCTAAATGCCCTCCCTTTGTGTTATGTACCTGTATCTAACACAGAACAGTACAACCCGCCCAGTCCGCCCTGTGTGTACCAGAGAGAAGGGTGGGGGTCAAGTTTGGAAAACAAGTATTAGCTGCCTGGCCCCTCCCTCTACCAGTGGACTTCTGCCCCTCCTAGTCCCTCTTTGGGGACCATGTCTGCAGGGTCCCTCGCTGAGACCAGATCATAGTTAACCCAGCTGACCTCCTTCTGCCCATGGGAGCCTCCTGGAGAGTCTGGCAGGTACCCCAGTATCTAGCCCTCATCCTCTCCTCAGAGAACGCCAGTGATGATGGGCAGAGACCCTGACCAAGTTCAGCATCACATTAAAGTTCCCCCTTTGTTACAAAACCACATACCTTTCATGAAAAGTTGGAAAACACAGAAAATAAAAGAAACAATGTCCAGAATTCACCCCACCTCCCAAAATAACCTTCTGATAGTCAAGGTATACTGCCTACCTGCATCCCTGGGGACTTGGGACAGGAGAAATGAGTTTACACTCTGAAGGGACTTCCCAGGATACCTGTATACCTGCAGCCCACAGACAACCCCAAAACACAGCACTCAAAGCCATCCAGAACCTGCCAGGAACTTCAAAGCCTCCCCCTGTGCCTTTATCCTTGGTCCCCCTAGGGCCCGGACATCTGGGAGCCTCTGGTCATAAAGCACTGCTGCCACAGACCTCTGGCAGCTCAGGCCCAGGAGCTGTCCAGTTATGAACCTCCGACTGCAGTGTCCCAGTCTGGGCTGCCCCAGCCCTGGCCACCTGAGCACTGGAGGAGAGAAGCTGAGTCCCAGCGTCTGGTATCGGTTTCCTCCTTTGACCAGGCAGTGCGGTGGATGAACCCAGGCTTCCTGCATGCCGGGCAAGCACTGTGCCTTGAACTGCACTGACCCTGGTTTCAGTTTCCTTTCCTGGAAACAGTCACAGCCTAGTGTGAGGGTGCTAGGTCTGTGGGCAACACTTTGTCTTCACCTGTGGGGACAGCAGGCTCGGCCCCTTCCTCTGCTACATTACCCCTGTGTCCACCTGCCAGGACAGGCCAGGTGGAAAGAAGTGGAGCCTGAGAAGACTGGACGGCATGTTGCAGGAATGCCACACACCCTTGCTCTCAGACACATTTTGACCTTTTTTTTCCTGTTGTCCTGGCAAGTGCATCAGTTACCCACACAGTCCTGTCAAAGAGTTCACCCAAGGGGCTGGAGAGAAGGCTCGGCAGTTAAGAACACTGACCCGGGTTCGAATCCCAGCACCCACATGGCAGCTAACAACTGTCCGTAACTCCAGTTCCAGGGGATCCAAAAGCCCCTTCTGATCTCTACGGGCATTGCATGAGGGTGCACTTACCTACATGCAGGCAATACACGCATACACATAAAAATATAAAAATGATAAAATATTTATACATATATTTAAAAAAAGAGTTAACCCAAAATATAAAAAGGAGCAAAGAAACATGACCTTCCAGAAGAGGGCTAACATGAGTTTGTCACTCCCCAGAGGGGCCCGGGACCTCTGAAACCTGAGAAGGTGCTTGTGTGCTCCACATCACCATGATAATAATTAGCTGTAACGCTGGCCCCTCTGCAAGCCTGGGAGGGGTCCTGGGACTCCCTCCACACTGAGGCCAGCAAGACCTGAACCACAGGGTGCAGTCTGAAATACAAATCCTGTAATCAGTTCCTGGGCTGTGCTCCCCGCATCCCTAGAATGAAGGTCGACGGTGCGCGGTAGAGAGCAGGCCACACCACAGATCAGTAGTAGCTCTCTAATCTCTGGGCCTGCAAACCTCCTCTTCCAAGCCACCACCCGGGCCCATTCTCTTCCCAGAATCCAGGGGTGTTTGCTGGCCAGCGGCTCAGCCATTCCAACACTCTATTTTCTCAATTCAATGTAAGAAATCTGCACGCAGAGCAGCCACGATTCTACGACACACGAAGCCCCAGGGGACTCCAAGGGAAAAAAGGACCATGCCCATCCCATGGCTCAGCAGATAAAAATGCTTGCAGCCAAGCTTGAGGACCTAAGTTCAATTCCCTAGGACATACATGGTGGAAGGGAAGAAGTGACTCCTATTGTCCCCGGACCTCCACACAAAACATAAGTAAATAAACATAATTTTAAAAATATTTTATGCATTATTTTTATTTTATGTATATGAATGTATTGCCTGATACATGCAAGTGTACCCATGTCATACAATGCCTATGGAGGTCAGAAGAGGGCTTCAGATCCCCTGGAACTGGAGATACAGATGGTTGTTAGCTGCCATGTAGGTGCTGGGAATTGAATCCCAATCCTGTGGAAGAGCAGCCAGTGCTCTTAACCACTGAGCCATCCATCTGTCCAGCCCCCATAAACATAATTTTTGAAAAGATTTGTATTTATGTGTGTGACTGTTTGGCCTACGTGTTTGTAAGTGCACCATATGCATGCAGTACCCGCAGAGGCCAGAAGAGGGAGTTGGAGTCCCTTCAAACTGGAGTTACAGAGGGTTGTGAGCCACCATGTGGCTCCAGGATCCAGAAGAGTAGGAAGTGCTCTGGACCACTGAGCCATCTCTCCAGACCCCAATAAAGTGATTTTTTAAAAAGAAAAGGAACCATCAACTCTGTCAGCCAGTGGTGGGCAAGCAGTTCCCATTTGGGGAAAAGTCCCAGACTAAACCCACACAGCTTATTTTCAGAAAACACTTGTGGTAGCAAGAGAATGCCAAGCTGGATGTGTGCAAGGAATGCAGGTGAAGTGGCAGAGGCTACATACGGGTGGCCCTGCCTGGAGAGCAGAGCTGGGGCAGAGCAATCAGAGTCTTACAGGGACTCAGTCAGGTGCTCAGACAGCCTCACTGGCTCAGGAAGGCAGCAGGCACCAAGGGGCCGGGCCGAGGATGCCCCTGGGGAGCAGTGTCCTCCTGGAGGAGCAAACGGGTGCTCCTGGTTCAGAACAGGCTTAGTGTGCCCCAATGGGCCCTGGGGGCAACAGGTGAGGAGAAAAGTAATGGGTGGGCAGTGAGTGGTCTCAGACTCACCCCAGTCAGCAGGTAAGGCCCCCTTGACAGTTAGCCTGGGTTCCTGTCACTCCATCCACTACTCCAGCCAAGATAGGGCCTGGGCAAGCCATGGTGAGCTCCACAAAGCAAGCCAGACTCCCCAACCCCCTCCCACCCCTGCCTCAGCAGCGCCGGAACTTGGCTTCCTAACATAAGCCCTCAGGCTCTCACCCCAGGGAAAAGAACTCCAGGTCTCTCCAGGAACTGAAACCAAAACTTTAAAAGAAGTGATAGACACCGGTAGTCTGGCACCTGCCCAGCAGGTGACAATGAAGGCAGGGAGGAAAGTTCTCCCCAACTTGTGCCCACTGGGGCTGCCCCTCAGTGGTGCTTCCAGTCCACCCTGGGGTCCCCGCTGTCCCCTCCCCATCCCAGACCTCACCTGGCACAGGGGCTGCGGGAACCAGCCTCTGCCCACACTGGCTGCAGAATATGGGCGCGTTCTCGCAGGAGACATGCCTACACCGTGGACACTCCATGCCGCAATCCGCAGACCTGAAGGGAAGAGGTGCGGCGAAGCGCTTTATAACCCAGCCTCCCGTCACGTGACTGCTGCCCCTTCGGTTTCATTTTCTGGGAAAACAAAGTGACTCGGACTCGGAAGTTCCCGGGTAATCGAAACCCAGCGCCCGAGTGTCCCCTCTGGCCACTGCCCCGTCCCAAATCCAGCCCCACACTCCAGCACTACTCCGGCCTCCTCTCCCTCCATCCCTGTAGTTGTCTATCACCCGGGAAGTCCAGTTATCTGTCTGACAGAACAGGCAGGGGAGCTCGAGGCCAGGGCCCCAGCCAGCAGGGAAGGCTGACCCAAGGCAAGGTGGGTGTGGGCAGCTACCTGCCGGCCTGCCTGTGGAGCACCAATGAAGATCAGCTGTAGCCAGGTGCTGCTGATTGCCCTGGTTCTGTCCCTCACCCTGTCATCTGAAAAGGGAAAAAAAAGCCATCTTTTCCCACACGCAACTGCAGGTGAGAGTTGGGTGAGTCATAGGGGACCAGTTTTCAGAGCATGAGTGACCTGGCTAGGGCTCCTAGCAGTGGGGTGGGGATGGGGGAAAACACCATTGTTGAGGGACCCCACACTTCTCAGGACCTAGTAGGTGGCACCAAACCAGGGTGAGGGTCATAGGGTCCAGGCCAAGGTCAGGATAGCTTGGGCACTCAGGCTCCAGGCCCCTCTGCTCTCAGCCCTAGCCTGGGAGCCTGTGACCAGAATTCTGAGCACAGCAGCCAAGCTGGCTCTACTTCCACTTCCTGGGCACTGAGGCCCTGCCTGCTGCTGGCCTTTTCCCTTCTCCCGGCCTGTGTCTGACCCTTGGCTTGGTGGCAAATTCTTTGGGCCTGGGTTGTGGGGGTGAACTTTGTATGTAGGAGCTCCCTGGCTCCACCTGCCACAGCCAAGCCCTGATCCCCACTGCGCCTCTTCCATTCCAAACAGCCCCAGAATCAACCATCCTTAAGATCTGGTACCCCTGACTGAAACACCTTTCATGCCTCACCACCACTTACACCCCTTTCTTTCCACTAGAAATGGCTTTCCTAACCCTTCTAGATTCTTGAGTTGGCCTCAACTACATTGGTGTTAAAAACACTGGTTGCTCTTGCAGAGGCCGCGGGTTCAGTTCCCAGCATCCACATGGTGGCTGATGACTGTAGCTCCAGTTCCAGAGGATCTAACGCCCTCTTCTGACCTCCCCAGCATTGCACGACATGGGGGCACGCACATGCAGGCAATACACTCATACACATAAAACAAAAAAAAGTTTTGAAAGAGGTGAACAAAATTGGGCATGATGTCACATGCCAGTAATCCCTGCACTTGAGAGGTGGAGCCAGAGGGTCCGGAGTTCAAGGCCAGCCTGGGTTACAATGGACCTATCTCAAAACCAAACTAAAGTAACAAAAGCTAACGCATGAAAAATTATACATATTTAATTATTGTCCCACAAACTGAGAGGAGAAAAATTGGGTTTGAAGGTTTGAAGGCAGTCCAGAAAGGGGTAGGGGTTGGGCTGGGGTGTAGACAGGCGGTGCAGAGAAGGGCTTGGGTCTAGATAAAGGTTGTGTTGTTTTGCGATGTTCTCTCAGGTAGTAAAAGCCCGCTTTACTACCTATATAGGTGTAAATTTCTTTTAGGAACGCTCAGTTTCTCAGGAAGTGTCCCAGAGCGGCAGTGTCTCAGACTAGCCAGTGGAAAGGTATATTTTGGCCATCCCTCCACAGTTTGGGGTGGCGTGCCCTGAACCAACACCACCTGATGTCAGTTCTCCAAACACCAGACACCACACACCAGAAAACGCACAGCAAGGCCCAGAAAGACTGCTAAGCATCTTAAGGCTTCGGGTTGGCACTAGTGACCACCAGGCAGGCAGAAGTGCTCGACCAGGGCGACAATTCATTCAGGCAGCCGGCGGACTGCGGACGAGACTCCCTCCCCAAACCTCCGCCCAGGAAAAGCATTCGGGGAAGGGGGGGAGGGGGCGGGGGGAGCAGAGGCTGGCCCTTCGCGATCGCACCTGCTCACTCGGGGTTGCTCCGGCCGGGCGCCGCCCTGGCCTGGACCCGGGGCCTTGATACCCGGGGGGGTGGGAGGACCCTGCGCGCGCGGGGCAGCACTCTGGGGCTCGGACGCCGGGGCTCAAAAGTTCCGGGAACGGTTGAAGCGCGGATTCCGGGCGGAGCCGCGGCCGTGTGTGCGCCCGTGCGGGCGGGGCTGGGCGGGTCCGGGGCCCCTGCCCTTGGGGGTGTTATCCCGAGCGGAGCCTACCGCCGTCCGCTGCCCCAGGGCCGGCCGGGTGGGCAGTGCAGGGCGGAGCTGGACCCGCCGGCCCCGGCGAAACCGAAACTTGGAGCGCGCAGGAAGGGGCGGCGCTGCGCGACTGCGACTGCCCGGCCCTCCCACTGCAGGACCGGTGCCCCGCGAACCCACGCCCCCCGGGGACCCCGCACGAAGTCCTGCCCCGCATCCCCATCCCCGTGGCCTCCTGTACATCCCTCACCCTCGGCTTCGCACGCCTCGATCCCAGAGCCCGGACCCCACATCCCTCCCCCGCCGGCGGCCCGGGACCCGCGCGCTCCGCGCCCTCTCCCACCTGCAGTGCTCTGGCCGCGCTGCCCCACGCCGCGCGCTCCGTCCGCTCTAGTCTCGGGTCACGGGACCCGGATGCTGCCCCTCAGCCTCAAGCTTCCGGCGGGGCCTGGGCTCCCACGGGCCCGGCTGGAGTTCCGCGCCCGTGGCGGGCACCCAGATCGATCCGCTCTCCGCTCCTCCTCCGGCCCAGGCGACCACAGCCGCTGCGCACCCACTGATGTCGCCGAGGCGCCCAGACTCCACACCAGGGTCTCCCACGCCCACTGTGGATCCGGGAGCCTGGAGTCCTGGGGGCTGCGAGTCTCCCTAGCCCCGTCTCCCCCCGACCCCACACACCCGTATCCCAGCACGTTGGACAGTGGTCAGGACCACCTGGGCCAGTCACTGGAAGACCCTGGAAGACGCCAGGAGGGTTGGTCTGTCCAGCTTCAGGTCTCCTGGCAGCAACATGGCGATTGCCAGTCCATCGCGTCGAAGCAAGGACCACAGGCAGTAGTAGTCATGGCTAGTGGATGACCACACGTCCGGCCTGCACCTGGCGCTCCTCGGGACCTGTGAATCTCACACTCGGTATCTCCCACCCCCAAAGCTTTTTGTTTTGGGTCTTTTAGTTTGTTCGTTGGTTGCTGTTGTTTTTGACAGGGTCTCCCTAGTCCCAGCCTAGAAGTCGCTATGAGGACCAGGCTGGCCCCCATCTCACAAAGGAAGTTCCCCTGTCTCAGCAGGGATCCATGGGCTGGGAGGGCTGGGATCCCTGTCCGAAGCTTTTAAGGATTAGCAAGGACCGAATTAAATATGACTCCCAGGTCCTAAAGAAACTCCCCAGGCCAACCACCTCTTGGACACCTGCCAGCCCAGGCCCGAGTCCCTATCCCGGGCCCCCGCTGCCTAGCAGGTTATACATTTATGTGCCTACCTTCAAAATACAAAGCCAGGGATCAGACTCTCCTCCCCAACCTCTCTGACCTTCTTTTTTCCAGAATCTCCAGTCAACTTCCTGGCTAGACACTCCCAGCTCTGTCCTTAGCTAGGACTTCCCTACCCAGCAGGATGGCTTCACTGCCATTTGCTGTCACTGGTGTTTTAGCCCAGGTGGCACTTGGGAACCCAGGTCACTGGGGTTTCACTTGTACTGAACCACAAGGCCTGATTTAGCTCCTTGACTCCTGAGGGAGCTAGGAAGACCTGCGGGGGAATGTTTAAAGCCTGACCTAAGCAAGAGAGGCGTCACCGCCCTGCCTGCAAGGTGCTCAGTGTGCTCAATTTAATTTGTAGCTCCAGATAAAGCAAAGCTCTGGCCTGGCTAGTCTCCTGTTTGGAGACTTCTCTCAGTCCACGTGGTCTAGTCTAACCAAGTTCACCAGTATTAGAGCTGGAACTGTGAATTTCTAGGTGAGAACTTCAAAGATCAAGTCCAGGTAGAGTTAAGGCTTCCTGTTTGCTGGGAAGTAGGTGTGGTCTGGTCATCAGTGTGGGTGTCCGTTTTCATAGGTACAGACAGGGGCCTTAAGGTGTGTTCTAGTTTGCTTCCAATTGCTGTGATGAAAACACTGACCAACACCAACTTGGGGAGAAAAGGGTTTATTGGGCTTACAACTTCCAGGTCACAGTTCAACACTGAGGGAGCCCAAGGTAGGAACTCCAGGCAGGAACCTGGAGGCAGGAGCTGGAGCACAGGCCATGGAGGAACGCTGCTTACTGGTTTGCTCCCCTGGCCCCTGCTCAGCCTGCTTTCTTATACTACACAGAACAACCTGCCCAGGAGTGGCACCACCCACAGTGGGCTGGGCCCTCCTACATCACTCAACAATCAAGAAAATACCCCACAGACATGGCCACAGTCCAGTCCAATGGAGGAAGTTCCCCACTGAGGCTCCCTCTACCCAGGTATGTCAAGTTGACTACCCAGCACAAGGTGTTTCAAGAAGGTAGAGTGAAGACCATGTCCACTTCTAAGAGCCTGGTGCCAACAGGCAGTGACCCCGAAAAGGCACACAACTCAGGGAGCCAAGTCAGAAATGCAGCAGCTATACCGCAAGGCAGAGGGGAGCACAGTATCCCATGTGTTAAATGCAGATGCTGCATGTGCATGTGACTGTCAAAGTTACAAAATAGTACAACATATAGGTAATGTAAGAAGTAAATTGTTGGGGCTGGAGAGGTGGCTCAGAGGTTAAGAGCACTGGTTGCTCTTGCAGAGGACCCAAGTTCAGATCCTAGAACCCACATGGTGTCTAACAAACATCTGTAACTCCAGTTTTGGGGGATCTGACACCCTCTTCTGATTCCCACAGGCATTGCACAACACGGGTGCACTCACATACATGCAGGCAATACATTCGTACACATAAAATAAAAATAATGAATATAAATAAATTAAGCCCAGCATGGTGGCACACGCCTTTAATCCCAGCTGTTGGAAGGCAGAGGCAGGCGGATCTCTGTGAGTTCAAGGCCAGCCTGGTCTACATAGTGAGTTCCAGGACAGCTGGGGCTAAAGGGAGACCCTGTCTCAAAAAAAAAAGACAAAAAAAGTTTAAAAATTATTTTCATTTTATGTGTATGAGTGTATTGCCTGCATGCGTATGAGTGTATTGCCTGCATGCGTATGAGTGTATTGCCTGCATGTGTGTGAGTGTATTGCCTGCATGTGTGTGAGTGTATTGCCTGCATGCGTATGAGTGTATTGCCTGCATGTGTGTGAGTGTATTGCCTGCATGTGTATGAGTGTATTGCCTGCATGTCTATGAGTGCACCCATGTCATGCAATGCCATGGATATCAGAAGAGCGCTTCAGATTCCCTTGGAACTGGAGTTAAGGATGGTTCGTAGCTGCCATGTGGGTGTTGTGTTGGGACTCAAACCCGGGTCCTCTACAAGAGCAGTCAGCGCTCTTAACCACTGAGCCATCTCTCCAGCCCTTAAATTTTTTTTTTTTTTTTAGTCTTTTTGAGATAGGGTCTCCCTGTAGCCCCAGCTGTCCTGGAACTCACTATGTAGACCAGGCTGGCCTTGAACTCACAGAGATCCTCCTGTCTCTGCTTCCCGAGTGCTGGGATTAAAGGTGTGCGCCACCACGCCTGGCCCTAAAATATTTTTTTAAAAGGAAATAACTTGTTGGGGCTGGAGACATGGCTCAGCAGTTAAGAACACTCGCTGTTCTTGCAGAAGACCCAGGTTTGAATCCCAGCACCTACATGGCAGTTAACAACTGTCCCTAACTCCAGTTCCAGGGGATCCAACAGCCTCTTCTGTCCTCCATGGGCATGCATGACACGGGTGCACTTACCTACCTGCAGGCAATACATGGATACATATAAAAATAATAAATTTTTTTTTTAAAAAAAGGAAATAACTTGTTATGGTCTGTTTTCAGTGCGGTTAGAGTACATCAGAGAATCACTGGGAGCAGGAGGCACTACTAGTCTCCTGTCCTCCATAGCTGGCAGTTGGTATCTGCTCATCTAGGCTCTCTGGGAAGTTACAGGCAGTGTGCTACATGACTGAACCCATGTGTCAGAAAAGGAGGAAATCTCCAGCCCCAGGATATACATTAGATAAGGCTTTATGTCCTGAACCCTAAGGATGGAGATCTGGGGCGGGGACAATACCAGACACCAGGAAGACTCGACCTCCCTGAAGAACTTGGTCCATGAGAAATTCAAGGGGCAGGGAATTCGATTAGCAATATAAAACTGATCAGTGTTTCACCAAATCAGTGTACCACCCATCCTTGCCTTTTCTCTAGGCGGATACCCGACTTTGTAATGCTGTAAAATAAAATACTTTCACTACTCTGAGCCTCCAGAGCTCTTATTATGAAGTGAAGATCATTATTTCTCACAGGTAACATGAAGATGTAATGTGTGATCTAACAGAATTACCAAAGGAGTCAGAAGAGCAAAGTATGTGGGCCATGGCACCCAGGAGCCATTCACTTTGAAGGGCTGAGTCTGGATCAAGGGTGGAACCAGTGTCCAGAAAGGAACCGGGAACCTGGGAGGCACAGCTGGCCGACTGGCCTCAGGTAGTGCTGCAGACCTTACAAACAGGTGACCTGGGTGCTTAGACCAGTGTCAACTCCCCTAGGGAAGGAAGGCTTAGAGTTCACAAAGGGCCCTGGAAGACTGAAGTCAGCAGAGGAATACCCTGATGGCCCCCAGCCATGCCACTGGGCCTTCCAAGCAAGCCCTGCCCCACCCCCCATCCCTGTTAAGGCATCTCAGTTCCAAAAGAGGGGCCTGACTTAGCTGAGACCAGACAGCAGTCTTCACGTTTCTGTCAAGCCCAGTTCCGGACCTCTCCACTGCGAAGGCCTCACATTGACAGTCTCCCCGGTGCTGAGTAGCTACCATTCCAAACTTCTGATGTTTCCTAGAATGGATTGGGTCTGGCCCCAAACACAGCCCGGGTTGTGACCTCACTCCTCTCCTGGGCAGCTGGGTGGACCGGATGTTTCCTTCAGGTTGCTGAGCTGCAGAATCATCTTGCGACATGGAAACACACTCTCCTCCCAGCACAGGGCTGACGGGCAGGTGATTCTTAAGTGAGGGGCCTGGGG